CAACTCGAAGACGAAGTGAAAAAAATGGTTTTAGAACCTCTATATCTCACAGGAAAGCTCAGATATATTATACAGATGTTTGGTGCTATAGTAAGTGCTTGTTGACTGCAAATTCATTTGTCGTTTATTGCAAACTTTTCTGAACAATTTATATTCTCAATGAACATGTTTTTTCGCTGTTGTTTCGGTATTAATTCTTTAAAAAACTTGCATTTAAACTAATTTCTGCGTAATAAATGTATTTTGCTAACCTGTCAAATTTTTTTTGAGAGTTTTTCCTTGTACTATTATCTTTCTCAAAGCGAATATTTTCCTTTTTTCTGCTTCGCAAAACTTATGTAGTTTTTGGACCGCCATCTTGTTTTTCGCTACTCGCCGTATATGAGCTGATATACGGCGAGTAATTCAACCAATCAGATTGCAGAACAGCTCATATACGGTGGATGACTATATTATAAATATATATATACTATAATATATATATATATATATATATATACTATAATATATATATATATATATATATATATATATATATATATATATATATATATATATATATATATATATATATATATATATATATATATATATATATATATATATATATATATATATATATATATATATGTATATATGTATATATATATCAGCGACTGGTTATATTAGGACCGGAACTGGCGTGAAGCGGACCGAGGTAGACTGTGAGCTTACAAATGGTTATTAGGCCGTTACCTCATTCATGATCTGCCCCCTGACCTGACATGGTTTCCGCACAATTTTAAATCTTGTAATAAATCTTTTTAAAGAGATACCTTTTTCATATCATGTACTTCATTGTTTGTATTCTTAATTCGACACAAAAGCACTCGTACCCTAATTTATTATATAGTAGACAGTGAGACACCGAAACAATACACAGTGAGATATTTTCCATAACTAGATCTCCACTAGTGAAGATATCGACTAAGTGTTCATTTTCTTTGTTATTTTTACTAACGACTATATAATAAAAAGAACATTAAATACACGGTGGCTTGAAGTTTCATCTCGTGGTGAAAACTGAAACAATATTTTTTACTCACTCAAACGTAAAATTTATATCTTCGCACCGCCTTTAAGCCCAGGTCACACTACACAACGATAACGATACGATAACTTGTATACGCGCGCTGATTGGTCAAAAATTTATCGTTATTGTCCGGCTGAAAAAAAAATCGCTCAGGTGAGCGATTTTAAAATCGTTATTGTTCTCGTCAAACGATAATTTTAACATTTTCGTTGTTGTGTGGACACTAACACAATTTTTTTGACAATTATCGCGTGTTTAAAATTTATCGTATCGTTATCGTTGCGTAGTGTGACCGGGCCTTTAGTCGGCGATAGCAGACTAACTTAGCCGCCCCCCCCCCCTCCGGTCCCCCTCTCCCACTGGAGCTGCGGAGAAACAGCAGACTAATCTCAGAGGCAGTGCCATTCTCGTACCCAGAGCCCTTCTTACGCGCGGTCAACGGAGCGCGACAAGGGCTCTGGCCAAATCCATATCAAACTGGCATCTGATAGGCTACAACGAAGGTTATTATTCTAATACCGGATATATTCTATTACCATGTTTTTATGATATCCGGTTATGGATTTGGCCCGAGCCCCTCGTCGTACCGCGCGTAAGAAGGGCTCTGGGTACGAGAATGAGGCAGTGCTGATCAGTCTGCTATCGCATGCTACACCCTGTCTCCGTACCCAGGCGTTTCTTTGTAAAAAAACAGCGATGCGCATATGACGAGTTCACATGAAGTATTGTAGTACTACACCGCCGTCTAACATCCTCTATATAGTACTCTCCTTGACCTTTCAAGACTAATAATGCAACATATCCTCACGCGTAGTATTAGGGAGGCTGGACGCGCAGGGGCGGGAATATTAAAAAAAGGTAGTCATTTTTAGATTAGGATTGATTAGAGCCAGATTAAGATTAAACCAGGGTTAGGGTTAGAGGTTAGAGTGGGGGTTGGGTGGGGGTTAGGGCTGAACTTAATATAAGGCATATCCTTAATCTTTAGAAACTTTTACAATTAAGGATAATCCCTAATACTACGTGTGAGGATATGCAGAATAGTACTGATAGTTTCGAATACATATTTCGAACGAAACAACACTTAAAATGTACAAATTTTAATATATTCTTTTCCAAAATACACATAGTAATTACTGTATAAGATGTACTACAAAGCGCATTATAAAAACGATTTACAATAAAGTAAATTTACATTGCTACGTTTCGTTCTCCATACTTTTATAACCGTAATAACACGTGTTTGAAGTAAACATGAATCGGAATTGTTTGGAAATTACCAAAACATTCGGAAACGCCAGTGTATAAGTAACTCGAAGTTTAACTCGAACTCGAATCCAACTCGATGTTTCGGGATTCCCGATAAAAATACGTCTGTGCCCATCACTATTTATAGTGTTGTCAACTCTCTCCTCCGCAGAGCCCCCTTAAGTATTTACAAATAACTTGTTAGTTTGAAACGTCATTCAAGCCTCTGGGCATGTATTTGTTACGTCACATGCAAAGGGGGCTCGCGTGATAGATCAAATTGAACAGTCGACCGATCAGTAAGGATCAATTTATTCACGCTAAAACGAAGAAAACGATTCCCGAAGAAAAGATACTGGACGCTATTTGAGGAACAAGAGGACACCAAAGTAGGATTTATATATTTGTTTGTTTGTTTGTTTAATTAGTTTAGAAAGCATGCGCATATTATATTTAGACAGTAATTTAGCATATTCAAGTTGATTTAGTATATTAGTATAACTATTGCATGGTATTTAGTTTAGTCACTATTTTTCCTTATAGTTCGAACTCGTTTGATTGTCTATTGATTGTTGCTATATTTGAACACCGAATTAAAGAAATCTATACGTGTAATACGTCTACTCGTCTACTCTATCTGCGTCAAAGACGAAGTTCGAAACCCTCACGCTACTCAAGTAAAACCCCCCGTAAGCTTTAAGAAATCAGTCTACCCTATCGCTACGCAAAGAGCTTACATAACTTACATGAAGTTTCCTGAATAAAAGTGAGCGCGCGCGGTGTGATGGGAACAGCGTTTCCACTTGGGAGGAAATTTCCTTCCAGAAGGAAATTTTGGCCTTTGGAAGAAAATTTGGAAGGAAATAGTATTTGGAAGGAAATTGGGAGGAAATATTGTTATAAGGAGGGAAATGAGAAGGAAATTCTATTTTATCTCATAATTTCAAAGAATAAGGCAATTTTCATACAATTTTGTGCAAAATAAGACTCTGAAAATGCCATTTCCAACGATCTAGAGACTCCATATTTTCAAAAATTTCCGCTCGGCGCCAACCATGGTGGCGCCTCGTGAGCCCCCAAAGCGAGATCTCACAGATGGGTTTTTTTCCAAAGTTGGCAACTATGTATCTAGCACAGGACCCCAGAATCGCTATATTGAAATAACAACCAAACCTCGTACCCAGGGTATTATTTCTCAGACTCTACTTGGGGGGGGGGCTACTTAGCGTGGGCAGGAAAGACCCTAAGGGTTTCTTGTGTGTGTGTCCAGAGGGGAGAGATGCAAGAAACAGTTATGGAATCCCTTTTCGCAACCACAGCAAGTAGCCCCCAATTATTATGCTTTTTGTCCCCCAGGGGTGAAGATGAGCTGATTTTAACAGGCAAAATACAGAGTTATCTGCTATAAATTAATATAATGTGTTTCAATACTAGAGTTTAGATGTTAATTACCAAGTAAATCTGTCAATTTTGATAAAAATTTTGAAGGAAAAATGGAAGGATATTTAGAGATTTTTGGAAGGAAATTTTGTTGGAAAAAAGGAAATTTCGCGTTATGGAGAAGGAATTATTTTTTTGGTGTGGAAACACTGGATGGGAAGATTGAAATGAAGTTGGGAAGGCTCTGCCAGATAATGCGACGAAGTATGGTTTTTGAACCAAACTAGTTGTTTGACCTTTTTTTAAACTTGAAATCGACGGAAGTGTGAAAGAAATTGAAATGAATCTTCATAATCTGAGTATCGAAGTTCAATAGAGTCATTTTTATAAAGAAATGTTGCAATTAAGAGGATATTTATAATTAGATCGCTCGTATCCATTGATATTCGTTTGCAATTTCTCAATATTTTTCGATGCAAATGGCAGAAGATATTGATATTGAATTCACCCTAGGATACTCAAGTACGCCTGAAAATGAAAGTCGAAAACATGTTTTAACACCCCCGATGGTTGATCGAACTTCGCTACAAACGATTATATACGACGCCATATTGATTGCATTAACTCGCAGAGGCTTCCTTTATTTAGCTCTTCCCATCACTCCTTGCGCGCTCACTTTTCGCTCACTAGAAACTTCATGTAAGCCTCTGCGGAGGAGAGAGGTGTTGTCAATCAAATGTAAAATACAATGTGACAAATTAATACAGACACGCCTTATATAATAGCCTGCTAATATACAATCTCGTTCCCCGAGCATGCCCGTTCGCAGGTTAAAGGTAGGTTACAGTCCCTTCTGCGCATGCGCGGGCTTTGTTTACGTTTTTTGTTTTGATCCGCATTAATTATATAACATGAAGTATATCATAAGAGTTCAAAACAGTACACGATAAATTCGAGTGATTCGAAATAATTTACGCGGAGGAGTGCAGTGTTTCATAATACTTCCCTTCAATTTCTTATACAGTTTTATTAAGTCTTATGACTTTTAATTTAAAACTGTGGATAAGGAGAACACTTTGAAACTGCGAAAACACTTTGAAACTCGATAACTGGACAGCTTAAGCGGCGAACGGAAATCCCGAAGCGGCGAAGGTGTGAGTTCGAATAATCTGTGTATATAAAACTGTGTTTACCTTTGGAAGTTAATGCATTTGGAAGTGTTATTTATGTGTCCAATCATGAAAATATTACATGCGGTATCACTTTCTCGAAGCATGTTGCCACAGTTATTGTTGCCGTTATGGCAGAAGCACCTGAGGAAAGCTTTTCGCTGGACGAATTTGAAACGAGTGTCATTGAAAATGTGGCTGCAGTGCCTAACGTAGACAATATTACCACATGTTCCTGTCGTGGGTACTGTCTTCGTGACAAAGGTCGAAATTTTTGTCCTTGCAAAAGCATAAACAGCTTTTGTTCGAGCTCGTGCCATGGAGAAGATTATGGATGTTGTATGAACAACAGAAGAACCCAAGAGAACGACAGTGATGAGACAGTAAGATTATACTAAATGTTTTTGTATTACAAAAATGTATGTTTTCAGATTATGAACTGGAAGTATGTAATCTATTGATGTTACTCTCATATATTGTTACTAAAATATTTTTTATGCAGTGTAAGAATAACCTTATTCACTTTACTGTTTTAGGATTCTGATTTCTCCATGGAAGAAAGTGAAAGTGAGGAAGAGGGCGAGTTGGAAGACAGTGAAGAGGAGGGGAGAGGACGTGGCAGAGGACGAGCTAGAGGTCGTACTAGGGGGAGAGGTAGAGCAAGAGGACAACAAAGAGGTGGTAGAGGAGGACGTGGAAGAGGGGGTCGTGGTCATGGAAGAGGTCGTGGGAGAGGAGGTCGTGGAAGAGGGCGTTTGGATGAAGAGCCAAATGCTGCTGAAAATCAAGCTAACCATGAACAACAGTTGGTGGTAAGAAAACACTTTGTCAGCCATTTAATTGATTAATTTATATATTTGTGGGTGGAGGTTATGCTAAGAGGGGGTGCAATAATGTGAAATATCACATCAATCTGAAACATCAATATCAAACCCATAATGAAAGCCTGGGTAAACTTGAGGTTGCCATTGCATGGAGGTAGGGGGTGGTAATATAGTGTAAGTATCCCAAAAAGGCATCATATATTATGCTGTTGTGCTACATCGATATAGTCGATAAATATATTTTGTGAACACCCCTTTTACTCACCATACCATGTAATCTATTTACAAATAAGTACCTCTACGTTTCAGAACCTAGTAGAAGCAATGGACATTCAAGCACTCAGACAATTTGCTTTAGAGTTGCTAAGAAGACAGCCAGCAGCATTTGCTGACATGGTCAATGGTGAATTGGCTGGTGGGGATCAACCACAACAACCAGACCCAGAACCAGGCAATGATCCCCCTGAGTGGTGCAATTGTGGACATTGCATTGCTATGCCAACTCAGGATGAAAACAAATGCTGCAGTACAAGAGCTAGACGTCCGTGCATTTCCAGAACCAATATTTTTAGACAGCTGGTCCTCGATGGCAATGTTCTGGAGATTGCAATGCGATACAGGGAGGATGTTCTGGTTCTGAACAATGTAAGGAACAATGAGAATTTTCGCCATGCAGCATATAGACAATATGTTCTATGGCAGCATGGAAGGCTAGGAAGGGGAAACAGGAGGGTTGTTCCAAGCTGCTGTGTTGTTGCAATACGTACTCGTTATCCTTCACCCAATGGTGTTTACACAGGATATAGGCCTGCACGCTTGTAAATATATAACCATTAATCTGCAGTAAACCCTATTTTATGTTATACTGTACTTTGTATTCAGCGGACTACTTAACTTTCCTGCATTAGGGTTAGGGTTTACTTATTTCTGGGCATGGAATTATAACTAGTGAGATGTAGATCCTTTTAATGGGTTAACTTTTCAATGGGAAGCTCTGCAGCTTAAGAGACAATGTCCACTAAAACCGAGCAAAATCGAGAATACGTGGCACATGAGGAAAAATAAAAAATCTTCTTATTTTTTCCAGTGATACTCTAATGTGTACTCAGAATCGTGGTGGGGTTTGTTTTCTGAAATATTATTTTAAACGCCGAAAATTATCAAAACCTCACACATACCCGAGATTCGCGAAATTAGCAAAAAAATTGTGAGCTACGGCCTCTCGAAAATTTCGTTTTTCTCAATTGGCGTGTGATGAAACCTCACCTTTCGTTTTTAAACGTGTTTACAAGATGTTTATAAAGAACGTGGGTCCAATTTGCAATTTTTGAAATGATTTTTCAATGTCAAGACAAGCGTGTAAAAATCGTCTTTTTTTGCGATCCAAAAAAATCTAAATTGTTACACTTTTCGAAAATTAATTTTCCGTATCCGGGTAAACTCCAATTTCCTTGAAATTTACGGAATTTAAAGACAAACTTTTGCTCTAAAATATGATGTAAAAATTATTTTGGGGCTTTTTGTTACCGCGGAATTATACTGACTATAATATCGAGAAAATCACAAAAAAAACCTTAAAAATCCTCAGACAATTAGGCACTTTGCTTCAACTATAGACAGTCGAACGTTAATCATTCTTGCTTGTTTTCTCTTGTTATTGATAGGAAATATAAGACGTAGATAATTTTAAACTAGTTTGCCTATTTCTAGATAAAAATACGCTGTTAAACTCTCCAAGACTAAGATTTCTTCTTCAAATTCTTGTTTTAATTTATCGATCCATGCGCGCCAATTAAAATAAACTAGAAACACTTGTACACTCGCTAGATCCAAGGCTATATATATATATATATATATATATATATATACTTACTATAAACAGTCAATTACTTATATTTGAGCATGTTGTGCTCTAAGCAATTCAGTTTAAGCGTCAAACTTCGGCCTTATTTTCATTGAAGCCGGGCAAGTTCAGTCGTTTAATTAAGGGGACAGGGCCGTTCCTAGCGTGATAATTGGGGGTGTATGTTCATATATTCGTCTTCTGCCCGACTGATTTCTTTTGAAAGCGATTGTTTTTTACGGTAGCGAGCATGAATGTATGACTATACCCCCCCCCACCCCATTATTGCGTCTAGGAACGGCCCTGTTGAGGAGGGATATGATCGGAAATAGCATGAATATAGAAATTAGATTCTCTTATCTGAAAGAACTTTTAAAATGACGTGGAAAACATTTAAAAACTTTTTTTAAATCTCGCTTATTTCTCGACCTTAAGAAAAGCTTCTGTTGTGATGGAGCTAAACTGTGGAACTCATTACCTAAATGCAATTGACGCTTAATTATAACGAGGGTCGAGGGTCGTACGTCGAGGTCGAGGGTCGAAAATAGTAAATTTTTATCCGCATTTCAAAAGTTTTACAACCATTTTGAAAGCTCCCAAAAGCGGCAAAACAATTAGTTTTTCTCTCAAAACTGAAAAATTTCGCCTACGGCTATAATCTATATGTATACTGAAAGTTTCGCTGAAGAACTATAAGTCTGATGCGAGGTTTGATGTTTGAAAGTATACGTATTTTAATATACATCGGAATTTAAAATATACAAACATGGGCGATGATCAGAGGCGATGATACAAAATTTGCGTTTCGCCAGTGCCGTAGCTAGCTCGATAATTGGTGGGGGGGGGGGAGGGGCAGATATTCATATATTCGTGTTCACAGACCATAAAAACAATCGATTTCAAAAGAAATTAATAACGCAGAACACGAATATATGAATATCTGCTGCCCCCCAATTATCGAGCTAGCTACGGCACTGCGTTTCGCTCTCATGAGAAATTTGATTATAATAGGCTGTTTATATATGGTCCCGCTTACCCGGGATTCAATGAAGTGTAACGTATTTTGATCGACCAATTGAAATACGTGTTTCAGCCCTAAACAAAAGTTAGATAACTTTAAATATTTTTTAAACGAAATTAGGAATGCGCCTGAAGTTATGTAGTGAAAGAAGACGATTAATAGCATTCAACAACATTTGGTTTTTTGTTTAAGACATGGAATTTCATACAATTTGTAACGAGCAATTTTGTTATATCATGAAGTGCGACTAATTTACATTGCTCAAAATACGCACGTCACACTTCATTAAATTCCAGGACCTGGGGAAGCGGGACCATGGCCCCAACTTAATGGCATGGAGGCGACATACAGAGTTCTGAAATTGCTCAGAACTTCAACTTAATGATACTCCCTATAGGGTATGACATCGTGTTTACAAGTCTGATATGTTGGATAAGTTGCAGGAAAGTATGGGTAATATCTTCATTTTTTGCAGTTTGTCATGGATAATGTAGCTGCTTAAAATTAATCAATTGTCAGTATTTTAAGGGTATATTATTTAATTAAATGATAAATAAGGTCCGCATGATTTTGAAAAAAGAATGATTATTAGCAAGTTGGTTTCTTAAAAGAGCAAGTCGCTTACATGCAGTTATTGTGCATATAAAAAAGTAAATTCAGCGTATGTTCTATACATCAGGTTTGATATTACTTTATAATTTCTGTGTATTCGGAAGTTTATTTACACAAACTGTCAAACACGTCACTAATTACATCGACATTGTCATTGTAGTCACATCGCGAGTTTAATAAAATCTATAGCCCTAATCTCAATGATTTATGCGACTACTTCAGAGAAAACTAAGCACATATGTTTCAGTTTGAAAAAAGTAGATAATACGGATTGATTTTACGAGCTATTGAGACTTTGAGTAGTGGATTTAAGCAGGCTATCAATAACTGATCTTTTGTCTATTAATTATTATGTCACGCGCACGGAGCTTTTGCAACATGATGTTCATATTGACTATTTATTTCTCTAAAATCCTGATAAACAAGCAATATAATTTAAAATAATTTATAATTTATCTGTCAAAACCAAATAACAAGAGAAAACAAGTATAAATCCTCACATTTCGACAGTCTATCTGAGCAGGCTGTGTCTAGACGTACTGCCTGTCTACTGATAAGTGTCTGTCTACATAATCGGCTGTATATTATAGACATTATAATTTCGTGATAACAAAACACCCCATAATATTTTTTACACCAGATTTGAGAGCAACATTTGTTCATACATTTGTCTAAATTTGAAGGAAATCGGAGTTTTACCGGAAAGGGAAAATTGATTTTCAAAAAATGTACCAAACTTAAAATTTTTTAACTTAAGGTTTTTCTTGTGATTTTGCCGATATTATAGTCAGTATAATTCCGCGGTAACAAAAAGCCCCAAAATAATTTTTACATCAGCTTTTAGAGCAACAGTTTCTCTTTAAATTCCGTAAATTTCATTGAAATTGGAGTTTTCCCGGATACGGAAAATAAATTTTCAAAAAGTGTAAGAATTTAGAATTTTTTGGATAGCAAAATAAGGCGATTTTTACACGCTTGCCTTGACTTTGAAACATCATTTAAAAGATTGCAAAATAGACTATCGTTGTTTATAAACATCTTATATACACGTTTAAAAACCGAAAGTGAGGTTTCCTGAAGACGCGAACTGAGCAAAACGAAGTTTTCGAGAGGCTATGACTCACTATGTTTTTAGCCAATTTCACGAATCTTGGGTACATGTCAGGTTTTGATCATTTTTCGGCATTTAAAATAATATTTCAGAAAACAAACCCCATCACGTTTCTAAGTATACATTAGTGTATCACTGGACAAAATAAGAAAACATTTCATTTTTCATCATGTGCCACCAGTCGCTCGGTGATAGTGGAGATTCCCTCTTAATGGGTTAACAAAAATATCTACAATACATGTACCAATGTGTCTGGCCTCTGGTTAATTAATGAATACATTTTTTTAATAATTATGTCATGACTAGTTTATTGGCCTGGGAGCCTTGCAATCATGGACCAAGAAGAGAGGCCATTGGCTCACGATTCATGAGAATGAGGCTCCCAGACCAAGAGATTTGTGATGTAAATATCAAAAATGGGGTATCGAGTGTCAGCACTTTCTCAAGGTTGACAAGTAAAATTGCCTGCTGTTAGACAGAGTAAAATAATAAAGTAGGGCACATTCAGGCACTTGAAAGGTTAACTCATGTTGTAATGCTCTCTACCTGTAATTTTTACTCTGTTTAACCCCAGAAAATTTTACTTGTAACATTTATTGCTAAAGGATATTTGCTTATCGTAATTTGCTGCAGCCTAAAACATTTTCTGAATTCAATTCCTGGTCATTTATATCTTATTGGCTAATAAGTATATATTTATAACTAACTGAACTATCAGCAAAATAACATTTTTCCTCAATTAAGTAACTGTAATAATATTTTATATTTAATGAAATAATACTATTGGCAGATGATTAACTTTAACAATGCTGGTGATTTTGGTTCATCATGTCTCTTCCAGATAGAGGACATTTGTTAAATTAATGTACAGAACAGTATGGCTGTTTCGCTCAATATCAGAGCTCATCAGCATGCCTAGGAAACACTGATGAAATTTTTATTTGCATCAGTGAGTTCGACATGGACAGCCTGACCAGAAAGTGGGGTCTGGGGGTTTGAAATCAGAGTTGTCCTTCTCCTAGGTGGACTGCCTGCCAAGGCGTATGAGCTCCACCTACCCAATCTGGTTGTAATGTGCCAGACACTCGCATGTTCATATTTTACTATAATTGCCTGATTTTGTGTCACAAAAGAGACCGGCACCATCCTGTAATATTACCAATATATGTTGTCAGAACAGCCTTATATAATCAGTTTTGTGACATGAAACTAGGCAATACATTCAGGTGAAATATATATACTAGTAATTATCAATTAAGTTGGTTTACACAATATAAAGGTTTCTGTGATCAAAGTCTTTTAAATTAATCAAGAACAGTTGCTTTGAAGTTACTTGACCTAAAACATTTTATAAAAGGCAATTAAACTGTAAATTTTTACATCATTTGATCAAATTAATAAAATATACTTTGATCATAAAAACTTTTGATGTGTAAGCTGGTTTCTATTCAGTTATCCCAAGTTATCCAAGTTGAGCAGACTGTCAATAAGGCAGTAAAGCACAGCTAAGTAGATTATCACTCAGACAATAACAGCCATCCAAAACATGTTGAAAAATAAAATAGGAAATGCAGGATAGCTGTTAAATTAAGTAATTAAAGTTTTCCTCTGTTTTTCTATAAATTATTATTTGGTGATAATTATACTTGACGACAAATTGCCGATTACATTTTCATGGACAACTCAGTATCATTATCTAGGCCTGTAATTATATTGTGCGTTTCAGTTTGTAAATATTAGATAGATCAGTTTGTATATAAAAAAATGGTGTATTGGACATTGTTAAAGATAATTAGAATCTTGACTTATGGGCTTCTACAAGCGATTTCACTGAAGGGGGCTGAACAGCAGCTATGTTGGGAGCAATTCTTCTTGGATCGTCACTCACCAAACCAATTCTTCTATCCACAGTTCCTTCAGAGCTGATTCGTCTCTCAAAAACCTGCAGTAGAAGTTTGGGGATGTAGGTGAACTGTTTTGGCACCAGAATACGAACATGACACCACCGTTGTGTTCTTTTACTGAACTTGCGTCCAAACCTGCAAACAAATTAAACTCTATAATTTCAATTACCAAGTAAATACCCAACCGGTAGAAATATTCAAAGAGGTTAAACATTCATGATTTAGTTACCTTGGTTGACCATCAGCTGTGGTTGCTGCTGCTCTACCTTTGTGATGGTTGAAATCTAATGCAGCAAGTTGATTTCTGGCACGGTACACAGGAAATCTGTGGATAAAAGATCTTCATGAGCACAAGCACACTCTTCCTACTGTATGTATTTCAAACATACTGTACACAATTGCATAACTTGTAACAAACATGGAACAGACTTGTAGCAATGCTGTTTCAACAACAAGGATGTTTTTGCAGTGCTTGTTCCCAGCTTGTTGACACGTTGTCAACAGCTTGTTGACTATGCAGACTTTTTACAAAGTTGTAACAACTTGCCATGATAGTTCTTCAATTCAATAACCTGCTAACAAGTTGTTAGTTACAACCTTGTGGCAACGTGATAACATAAACAGCATTGGTACGTTATACCTGTTTTGGTAAGTTTGCTACATGTCTATAGCGAACACATCTTATCGACAAGTTGTGAGATTTTATGTGTGTACAGTATGTCCATTAAGCATTTAACATCTGCCAAATGTTTAGCTGAAGGGGAAGGAGGGGCTACTTATATAGTACTGTAGTTAAAACGTAATGTTATCTGCACAAATGATCATACTTACGAGTAGGCATGACGCTTGGGTGCATACATCAGAATATGATTATGAAATGACTCAAGAAAGCCAGTATGTCTACAGAATTTAGAAAATAGAAAAATAATTAGATGATAGACTGATGGATGTTATACCATAAAATGTCCAACCTAGCCAAGCCAACATCAGCACCTGAAGTTAGTGTAGTATCCAAGTGTGTTCAGGAAACGAGTATCCAGAACAATCTTGGTAAGCGCTTTGTGTGGAGGGGATTCTTTCTTCAACCATGGCTTGTTTCTATCTTCTTCATTCAGTGTGTCATGACCACATTTCCCATCATTAATGCCTTCCTCCAACACCCATTCATGTTCATCAACTACATGGTGCAAAATTCCTACCCATTTATCCTATAATTAAACAGTAACAACCTGATTATATACCATGCAGTACAGTATGTGCATTGCAGTGACCACACATGTGTAGCTGTCATTAATGATTGTGATACTGTATGTACTCACAATATTGTTGCACTATAAACACATATTGATGTACTGCACAAGATAATCCTCAGAGAAGCATGAAAAGCATTTTATTATGAATATTTTAAGCAAATGCATATCAAGTGATTACATATCAAGTTCTTTAATTAATTTAAGACGAGAACTGGCATGTACAGTAACATATTTGATCAACTTCTTCCACAAAATATTCTTTGCAATATTTAAGTTAGTACATACTGTATTGACCTTAAAAATTCACGTCCACTTTAATTACTGCAAAAATTAGTAATTTATGTTAATTTTATAGCCAATCTTGCCTTGAGATTTTTCCTATCATTATCACAGTTTTTGGAACAGTGCCAGAAATGATTTCTGATAGATGGTGCCCAAAGTAACAGATCTTCATTGCCTTTTGCTTTTGCTGCCTAATAACAAAGCAAGTTATTTCAACACAATAATAATATTAAACAGCACATATACTGTAGCTGATTGCGACACAACCAATAGTAGCTTAATTAATTGAATAACAAGAGACATTAGCATTCTGTTTGGGTACGGTAACCTATTACTACAGCCCTCAAACTCTCCCTGTTAAAAAAATTACAATTGTCTGGTATAAGAGAAGCAAAAGAAGGAATATTAGTAGGGTGTATTGATCCAATACTTACAGCATTGATTTTCTTGGTAATACTTTTTCCTCCATGCCAAACATCATTCTGATGCACAACATTTTCATATTTTTCTTCCCGTTCTATATTATAGGAAATCATAATTAATCCATGCTGTCAGTCATAGAATTAGTACCTAGTACTACCTACAGTACTCAGACACTCAGAACCATAAAATTAGTACCTACCTCAGTACCATACTCAAGATTTTATGGTAAAAGTACATGCAATTAATGATTACCGTACATTAAAATAATGTACATAGAAAAAGGATAGACAAAGAAGAAAGGAAATGGATAAAAAAGATTAGAGTGATAATTAGGCAGTGGTTTTAATTACTATATTGCATAATTAGCACTATTTAAAAAAGTATTTTAATTATAACTTAAAAGGATGTGAACAGAGTATTATTATAAAGCATTTTGGAAACAAACTGATGTTGGATATCATTTGACACTTACTCATCAATGCTGCAATTTCAAGGTGACCATCAGTAACCACCTCCTTCACAACTATTGGTGATGTAAGCAGCATATCCATCCCTCTTTCAAAACCAATTCTCTCCATATTGTTGCTCTTTCCAGCTGCTTCCCTCACATCCACAACATTCATTTGGATAATGGTATTATCTTGCATATCTGCCAGGCTGTATGTACAATATTGTGCCGAGTGGCCAGGCGAGTCATTTCTTCCATCACCACTCAAAATGACATCTTTACCAGCCTTTTCATTCCAAACTTGTTGCTTATGTTGTTCCCAGAACTCGTTTATTGTGGGGATGATGTACAACTGCTGATACTGATTAAACAGTGTAGATGAAAAATACTGCAGATTACAGAAGTTGAACATCAACCCCACTTTGGCATACGAGTTTCCTGACAACAACAAAGCAGATGCAAGCATTAAATTTCCTGCTCTAATTTTGTCGCAAGATGGTTGAGCTGCCCATCTCCCACCCACATGGCCAGACTGACACCCCCATGATACAACAAGGCAGGTTCCCACATAGGTTTTGGTATACTCCAATAGACGACCACAACCTTGTCGTTTACAATGACTCCCATGTAGAGATGTTATTAATGACATAAGAGTGTCTGTAAACACAATGCACTTCTCCATCCGTATTGCTTCTTCTGGGGTAACCACTTCCACAGTAGAGATGTAACCACTTCCACAGTACCCTGACGATGTAGTGCTCTTGGTTCCACCTTTGTCATCTCCACCTTCAGGCTCATCTCCACCTTCACCTTCAGGCTCATCTCCATCATGCCCATTTATAGTGAAATTGAGCACATCGTTATCCTCTATCAATGGTTCATCAAAAGGAGCAAAGGATCTAAAATTGCATTAACTATGTATTATTTACATGCACTGTATACATACAGTACCACTGTATACATACAGTACATGTATATTATATAAAGGCACCTGATAGTGATTGACCAATCTGTAACGTAACAATAACATCGTGACACAATCCCAATTTCATAATGACGTCATAATATCAGTCAACCGAATTAAGGTATAAATGACATGCTTCACACATTAATTTAATATACTGTCTGTATTGCATTAATTATAATGCAAGGTATATCAATGTGCAATGCATGTAACTTTTAAAGTGCATATATTCTCAACAATTGGTTTTAGAAAATCGGAAATACAGATTATTGGTCAATCACTAGCACCCGGTTAAACTGGTTTCATAACAATTTATTATACAAAGCAATTTCACTTTAGCTTCTATATGAAAGTCATGCCAGCCTGTTCAGCTGAAATCTGCTGTCCATGTAAAGTCTAAGGGCAAAATTGGGGGGGGGGGGGGT